ATATTTCAAACAACTAGGAAATCTGACAACACAACACCGATATAAGTGGATGTTATGTCTTTCGGCTTCATACACATTCTTCGAGCGATTATTCCACTAAGTCAATAGGACCCTATCAACCTACTTCTCATGCCGAAGAGTTGTCTGCACGTCTTGATGAACTGCCCATTGTATGGTCTAAAAAAATATTTAATTAATTTCATAATCATTTTCCAAAATGTTTAAACATCATTTGTGGATAAAAACAAGTTGGAGTTAGCCTACTTGACTAACAAAGTGTCTAACAAAAAGTCATGAGTTCATTCTCATACATATACTAACTCACTAGATGTTCTAAAAAAACCATTTGTGGATAAAAGGTCATAATATTTCAACATTAATGTTTTAAAATGTTCAATTAGTAGTTTAGTTATCAAAGGGTTTACAATCAATATCAATGCATACGTCATCATTCAAAATAACATCATGAATCATCAAAACATCATGCAATGTTTTTTGTTTCTAAATCCCAACCTATGTTAACGAACTCAAATCCAATCTTTACCTATGTCATCATTAATAGGGAAGCACATAGCTAAACAATATACATGTGCGTCATCATACCTACAATAATATGCCCATTACACTAGATCAACATATGAGATAACTAGCCTCACACGCAAATGAGGTATGTATAGAATTACCATCATCCTTGTACATTTGTCTTCGTTGTTTAGGTAACTAGGATAATCGTTTCACACAATCCATCATTCCATCCTAAGTAAATCTACAAGTTCGAAAAGCAAGTGCAAAATATCACGTTTTCCCCTGATTTGCTATATAAAACTCAATCAAAACAATTTTCATGGTTACACATTATACATATTATACATATAGCAGTCACAAAACATAGATGTATAATAGCACATGAAAACTAAACATTTGAAGTCATAGAAGTATAGGATATTTATTCTTGGGTATTAACTCAACTTAAGTGATTGAACAAACTCCCTTCACTTCTAAGGTTGTTGGAGTATTTAGTGGTTACTAAAGTTAACAATAGTTAGGTCATTTATTCCCTAAATGTGTACTAAGATGTTGTTTGTTTTTTAAGAGGTAAAATATTTACAGTCTGCGGACGACATCTATAAGTATCTAAAGAAGAAGTTGACCAAATTTTTGCAGTCTGCATGAAGATTATTTGTTTTTTAACGATTGTAAACTGCTAAAATAAACTAAAATATAAATACACTTATTATTAAACTTAAAAGAGTTTTTCAACGCTGAAATGTAATAATTTCTAGTTTTACAACACTAAAATATAATTCATATAATGACAATATATATATATATATATATATATATATATATATATATATATATATATATATATATATATATATATATATATATATATATTCATTCCATATTTTACATTAATGCTTCATCATGTAAATGAGCTATATATTCTCGATTCGCTTCACTACCATGTCCTTCGAACAAGTAAATGTTTCATAGAATTTATTGGACTTGTTTATCTATATCAAATAGCTACATAAATAAAAATATTGGCTAAATATATATAAAAAAACCAACGTTTAGGCTTTACGTAAATTAGCCGGTTATTTAATTGACTTAAAAAATATAAAATGATAGAATTTATAATAAGAAATTAAATAAATATATTTGTATTTTTTAATATATTAAAGGAAAAAAGTATATTAATAGAGGAATACATGTGTTTGTGAAAAAAAAACAAGAAAACAAAAAAGAATGGTGCATGTATTTGCTTGTCTTAAGTTATATATATATATATATATATATATATATATATATATATATATAACTTAGTATGTTATTTCTCATAGACATCTTCTAGATTTAATATATATATATATATATATATATATATATATATATATATATATATATATATATATATATATATATATTAAATCTAGAAGATGTCTATGAGAAATAACATACGTGACAACTAGACACAATTTGGACTTCATTTGCAAAAGTTACAAAAATTAGGATTCTCTGTTTGGGGTTTAATCCGACTGAGTTAAATTAACAAAAGATTTCGGCTTGATCTGGGCAGGTCGATTCGAAAAATATGATGGCCAAACTCGATTTTAAAGAATTTTCAAGTCCTTAGATCAAGTCACATGCCTACACTCAAGTTTAAATCATTTTTCAAGTCAATTGGTCAAGTTCAAATCATTCCTAACTCCAATTCTTTTAGTTCCGATGACGTAGCATGAGCAAGTACATTCCACTAGGAGTAGATATTTTTCATGTCTAATCAAGTTTGAAGCTCTATGGAGTTTCTATTGAAGATCTAACTCTTGTTTCATCACCCCTAGTCATAAAAGGTAGAATTCTTCTCTAATTATTCATATAACATGTCTAAGGTTTGCAAGATTTCTCCAAATCCAAATCTCCATATTAATTCTAGTGTTTGTTTGATTTTGTAACACTGATTCTTTTCCTATTTCATCATTCAAACAACAACTCCTTATAGTTGTTTGATTTGAAGTTTGAGTCAGATTTTAAGGGGATTTTCTAACCTTGGCTTCTATGAACTCAAAATTTATCTTTTGATTAATGAAATTATCAATCATTTAGCGATTAAGTCGTTGTATCATTAAATCTAATTGTGTTTATCGAGTTTTTGGAGGTTTTGAGCTTAATGTTAAGAAATGATTAAGTTCTAAACTCTTATGACAACTTAATTTCATGTGGAATACATTCTATATCTTTTATGTGTGCAATTTGAATGAGCTTCACAAGTCAAATGAGGCGAAATTGCAAATGTTAGGCCATGCCTCCAATGAGGCTTCTAGTTGAGTTTTTGGAACTTCTAGTTATTAAATCCTTAGTTTAAGTATGTTAATCTTCATGTTTGTCATGTCAAGGGTTGTAATTAGATTTATTAATCATTATTAGGAGTTTAAAAGTCTATTGGAATCATTCATGAAGCATTATGACCATCAAAAAGGTACATTACCTTGTGAGAAAATTTGCATGTTTTAAGTGACCTATATATTTCCCATGGGTCATGTGGTTTTCATGTGTTGCGAATAGTCTCCCACACACCTTGCGGTCACGTGATGATAACTTTGTTAAACTTTCCTTATACTCAATGTAATACTTTTAAATGGTCGTGCTTCACAACGGATGTATATCAAAATACATGAGAGGAGATAAGTTCCACATTCCTTAAAATGGAAAGTACATGATCGTAAAACCATGATTGATGGACAAAAACCAATCCAAGTGGCCACGAAATAGCTCGCATACCATCACAAGGTGAGGAGCTAAAATTTAAAACATGTCGTTGAAGCCACTAAAAGGGTACACTTGTCTAAATGTCAATCTCCTTTATTGGCCGATATGTCAAAGTCTGTTTATTCAAGTAATGGTAAGGATAGCCAAACATCGGGTTATTATCTTATATTTAATTTAAAGAAAATGATGTTTGAAATAATGATTTGTTGTTCGACTTCAATATAATTAAAATGATGTTTATCCTTAATACACCAAAAAGGCTAACATTTTACATAATGAGGTCATAGGTGAGTAGTATATATAGTTTTAAACTTAAGGGGAACTATGCAAATTTAGGACGCGTTGAAATTGTTGAAGTATTTGCCTATCTTCCACCATAATAACATAATAGTGATGATCAAATAGTTGGAGGAAATTCGAATTAAGTCTATGGCATTGTTTGTAATGTAAGTCCCACATCTAATGTTGTAGTTGGCACATACACAACTTCAATTATGTATATCAAGGACATGATAATTAGAATCTGTGAAATACACCTAACCATTGAGTGTCTCAAAGTCCTTAGCTTCTAATGTCGGTAATGGTATCTCTAAGGTACGTAAGATGCCTCACAAATATTTAATGTTGGAACTAAGCCAATGTTATGTCATATTGCGTCATCTAGCCTCCAAGCTTTTCATTTTAGATTGCAAAGACAGAGGTGCACAAGGAAACAATTCGGATGTTGTGGTTCCATGTCGTTCAAAATAACCACTAATAAACACAACACCTCTTCATTTGATCATCAGGGGTGGTACTTCTGCTTCTTTTGAATGTTGAGTAGTAACTGTCTATTGAGTTAATATCGTTCTTTCTAACAAACTCCGAATCATCGCATCCTCCTTTTTACTAGGTTAACTCAATTGGAGAGTAACATGATTAATTTTTAAACTTAAAAAGAGGTTAATTCAACACCAACAAATAGTCAATCGGAGGGAGAACGACAAACTGAGAGTCAAATAGTAAGGTTGTTTAATTTTGAATTATATAACAACCATATGGAGAAGAAGGTAAATTTAATTTCTTCCAAATACAAATGCATACGACAACGTAGGCCTATATCGTTGTCGTCGAGACTGCAATTGAATGTGGAAGGAATAAAACCTCACGAAAGTACTAGTTCTCTGCATATCGGCGTTAGTAAGCCTTTGCAGAAAAAACTAAATGCGCGTTTAGTTACGGAAAAATGAGCCGTTTTTTGGAAAAAAAATTCCAAGAAAAATAAGAATTTCATTTTGAAAACACGTTTAGTTCAAAACTGCACAAATGGTCCCTGTGGTATGTCGAAAAATGTCATTTTGGTCCAAAAAGGTTTTGACTAGCGTCAGTGGTCCAAAACTTTCATTTTGTTGCATCTTTGGTCCAACCTGTTCAGATTATTTTCAAAATGACGAATCTACCCCTTTCAATATGATTTTCTCTTTTTTCTTATTTGTTTTTCTGATTTACTAATTTAAAAAAAAAACAAAAAACAAAAATAAAAATAAATCTCTTTCTAAAACAAGAAAATAAATCTCTCTCTCTCTCTCTCTCTCTCTCTCTCTCCATTGTTGGAAAAAAATAACCTCACCATCTTGCCTCTTTTTCCCTCCCTCTCACTGAATTATTGTCCAGGATCGAAGAGGGAATCAAGGGCAGTCAAGGGCTACCACCCTCGACCACCCGCTACCACCGTGACCCACCACCATCTAATATCCCCTGACCTCTAATCTATTTCCCCCTCCTTCGTTTTTTTTCTGAATTGATAAAACCACCAATGAAGGTGGAGACTTTCCAGCAAGGAAGACAACCTGCAGCCACAAATTTCGGCCGCCACCGGGCCCTCTCCAAACCCATTCACTTTCTCCGCCGATTCCGACCTGATACATAGTAACCAGAGTCGCTGGAACGGACTCTGACCACCACATTAGATCACCGCCGCCACCTTGCTGCTCATCGTCGATTCCGACCAGATACAAAAGGGCGTAGGGGACTTCAAATTAACCCATTCGTTTTGCAAGGCGGAGAACAACAGCACACCCATGAATGTCGTCCCCGCATCCAACACCGCCGATTAGAAAAATCCATATCCAATTTCTAAACAAACCTCTAGAACCAAAGATTCGCTCAGGTCCGATGACTCCCCAAATCACAAAAGTATCAAATGTAACTTTGAATTTGGGGGATGTCCATGGAATTTCAGGATGAAGCCCTGCGAGATTCATCATCCCTACAACTAGGGTTCCGACGAGCTGAGTTGTGAACATGCATCGAGGTGGGATCTTCATGTGGTGTCAAGAGGTTGGTGGTGTCCGATGGGATTCCACAGCAGCGGCGACGGAGGGCGGCAATGGCACCCCTACTGCTTTTGCTTTCCTGTTCCGACGGGTTTGAAGAGAGAGAGAGAGAGAGAGAGAGAGAGAGGTGGGGTGGGGTTTGGAGGGTTATTAGTTGTATATTTATTTATTTATTTATTTTAATCTGAATATCAGAAAAGCAAATAAGAAAAAAAGAAAATTATATTAATAGGGGTAAATCCGTCATTTTGAAAAAAGACATAATAGATTGGACCAAAAACGCAACAAAGTGAAAGTTTTGGACCTCTGGTGCTAGTCCAAACTTTTTTGGACCAAAGTGGCAATTTTGAGCAAACCACAGGGACTATTTGTGCAGTTTAGTCTTTTTATAATTCCAAAGAAAAATTAAAATATAAACACACTCATCCCACCCATCTACATCTACATATCCTTACTCTAATATCCTCAACCCACCACACCCCTACCCACTCATACCTATCCACCCACAAACCCCACCCCCACCCCTAAAAAAACAGATACACACCCACCACTACTACTTCAATCACCAACCTACCATCATCATCACCAGCACCACCCCGACAATACCAATACCACCCCAGCACCACCACAACCATCAATCACTGCCACTACTGCCGCCACCACCACCACCACCATCAACCGCATCACCACAGCCACCCACTGCCACCACCCCCATCCTACCACCACTACCGTTTTCTAAAAATAAAAATTGATAACAAACACACATCTAAATACGTTTTCTAATTATCTAAAACCGAAAGAAAAACACGTTTATAAAACTTCCAATTGAAAATTGAAAACAAAAAAACGAAAACTGAAACCAAATGAAACAAGTTTAGCAAGGTGAGGTTCACAGCTTTGATGGTCATTTTTCTTCTACTTTGGAAAAATATGGTCATATGGAGATATCTCTCTTCGACATATGGTCGTTTTAGAGAATAACTCTAAAAGTTTTTATATGTAAAAGAAATTGATGATCAATAACTAAATGGCTTTTTAATGAAAAATAAACAATTACCAATCAAAAAATAACGACTTATAAATAAATAACCAGGACTCCCCTATAGATTTTAATTTATACATAGACTGATGGATACAAACACAAACACAAACACAAATACAATTTAATATAAATAAAACTGCAAAAGCTTCAAACAGTTGATGCAATTGCTGCCATATCCCTGTTTGATCTATTGTATTTCATGTGGCTCTTAACCAGCTGTCCCGCTGCTATTGCTGACATCAGCGACAGCTCACCTGCCAAAACCGAACCAGCCACCACACTCGCCAACAGCCTCGCATTTGACCCCGGTGACCCAATGCTTGCACCCTTCACTCCAAGTAGGTTCAGACATGCTGACTGTGATGCCAGCTGTGTCCCTCCTCCAACCGTACCAACCTAATATATAAACAAACATACACCAAATCAATATGACCATTTTACCCTTCACAGTGAACAATGAGATTTTCCACATTACTACTTGTTACAAATTTGCACTCATTTATTTATTTGTTTTCATCAGCCCAAACGAGTCGTTATTTTCTTAAATATTTTTAAAAACAACATTTATCCATAGAGTACTTGATAGGGAAAAAAAAAAAAAAAAAGGGAAAGAGTGCCACATGTAAACTAGGCTAGCTGTTGTTTGAAGGGTTAAATGCACCTACCTAACTGTAGCCGATTTCTTATTTTAGGCAATGTATGTTTTTTACTTAAAATGGGAACATGATTTAGCTTCTGTCCACAATTGCTAAAAATAGATACAGGACAAAATAACACATGTGCAACAATCATCATCGAGCGTAATGGACAAACAATTGAAGTATGTTGCTATTTTGCATAAATTGGCTATAACTAATAATAATAGTACATTGCCCAAAACAAGAATTGGTTTTGTTTTAGTATGAAGGATTATCAAGATTAGAAATCCCCATGATCCTGATTTTAATTTATAGTGAAATTGAAGGGGGAAATACCTCAATTGAAGGCATAGTAACGGATATGTGGAGGTCTTTTCCATTATTGACAGCCTCCATCATGGTTATGCAGTGGGAGCTCTCAATGTTTTGGGCAGGATCTTGACCAGTGGCTATGAAGACTGCAGACACAATATTGGCAGCATGGGCATTGAAGCCACCAAGAGAACCAGCGATGGCTGAACCAGTTAAGTTCTTGAGCATGTTAAGTTCTACAAGACCATGAACTGTTGTTTTAAGAACCTTTTTCACAATCTCTTCACTGATCACTGCTTCACAGACAACAGACTTCCCACGCCCTTCGATCCAGTTCACAGCAGCAGGTTTTTTGTCCGAGCAAAAGTTTCCTACTCAAATTGACATTTCATAACACATTCAAGAATCCATGGTTGCTGATTGCTCCAACATATGAAGTTAAGAGAAATGGAGGACTTACCAGATATGCCAATCACATCCATGTCTGGGAAATCATTTTGAAGAAAATCTAACACGTTTTGGACACCCTTTGATACCATGTTCATTCCCATAGCATCACCTGTGCTGCAAGTGAATCTGATGTACAGATTTTTCCCAGCGATTGCGCATTGAATGTTTTGGAGCCTGCCGAATCTGCTTGATCTGTTTATAGTAAAAGATAAGATCGATTATGAACCAGAAACTAGTTTTGTACGGAGCTGAACCTATCAACATCAGATATGTCAATTGCATATGATAATTACATGACTGTTACCTGTCTAATGCAGCTGAATTCGGATTTGGAACTTAGAGAATTAGATAGGAAAACTACTTATGTATATTGAAAAGAACTGATAGAGAGGGAACTTACTTATTGAAAATGACGCTTAATGTATCAAAATTGATGGCGTCTTCAAGAAAGAACTTGAGTTGTGAAGCTCTCTCCGCCGTGGCAAACCTTACAACAGGTGCTCTCGTCATTCCATCTTTCAAAAGAATCGCTGTAGCTCCACCGGATGCAAAAATAGCTTTACAGCCTCTGTTTGTGCTTGCAACCAAACACCCTTCGGTGGTTGCCATAGGCACCATGTACTCACAACCATTCAACAACAACGGGCCAGCGATTCCCACGGGTATCTGAACATAACCAACAGGCATCTCGCAACACTGCCCTAAAATCGAGTCATAATCCAAGCCTTCCAAGGGTAATCCTAACAACGACCTCCCCGTTGTTCTCTCCAACGCCTGCCGTCGAATCGAAGCAGCCCTAAGGCAGTCCCCGAGTTGTGACTCCAGAGAATACGACGAAACCGATCCACAAACCACAGACTTCACAATCTCCTCGTCCTCTTCAGACGCGAGAGCGAGAGACGGCAGTGGATCCATAATTCTAGGTTTAGGTTCAGAATGGTGTTCGACTTCACCTTCAAGCACAAAACTGTCTTCTTCACCACGTGCGGTGGTGATAAAGGATTGCACGAAATCGATGCCAAAGAACCCTAGAAGGTAGATGAACGAGGCAATGAGGGAGACGATGGCGGCCAGCTCCGAGAGCGTCACGACATGGAGCGGCGTAGATGACCGGATCTTGTCACGCCAACGGTGAAGAAGGTAGTAGGCAACAGAGAAGAACAAAGTGAAGAAAATGCCATTTGTTAGGTAAAGAGGAAGCGGTAATGCATCCGACGCTTTAGGAACTGGCGACGGTGAGCGATCAATAACACCGGCCTTCGTGGAGGAAGGTGACCGATCTTCACCGTCAGTAACAGCCTTCTGGTGGTTGAGGAATGTAGCGGATGGAGGTTTAGGAGGGAGTCTACGACGGAGATCCATAGTCTTGGCGTTTGGTGGGGACGATGGCCGACGTGCGTTCGTTTCGGAGGTAGGGGAGGGTTGTTTTATACAAGAGTAGAATATGCAGGCGTTAAGGCTAAAATGCGCTGGCGTGGGTTGTACGTTAGTGCTGTCGTTTTCAATTGTTGTGGTACAACACATGGTGTGCACCCACCCCCACCTGTTCTTGTTTTCAAAATTGTTGAATTTTTTTTTTTTTTTTTTGATTTTTTTTACTAACCGAACTTGAGAAAGAAAAAAAAAATACTCCCACTTCATTTTTTTGATAATTTACTATTAAAATTTCTATTTTTAAACTTATCTCTTATAAGTTATAGGTAAATAAATATTTGATGTAATTTTCGGCAATTGATTTATTTATATGATTGTAATCATATAACACAGGATACTTCAGGGATATTCTAAAGTATCTTTTATAAATGAGTTTATTAACAAAAATAACTATATTTTTGACTAAACTGCACAAATGGTCCCTGTGGTTTGCTGAAAATTGCCACTTTGGTTCAAAAAGGTTTAGACTAGCATCACAGGTTCAAAGTTTTCATTTTATTACGAGTTTGGTTTAATTTACTTTAAACTTTTTTGAAATGACGATTTTACCCTTTTTTTTTGTTTTTTTAGTTTTTTCAGTTTATCTATTTATATATTTTTATGATTAAAAAAATTAATAAAAAATTACCTCTCTCTCTCTCCCCCTCTCTCTCTCTGTAAATACAAAACACTCAAGAGCACACATTGAAACTCAGGAACACATATTCATATTCATGAACACATATACAAACACTCCATATTTTTTAAGTTTATTCTCCAAACACGCACACTCAAGAAAACATACATGAAATCAGATCTAATGAAGGGTTTTCTAATGAACACATTCAAGAAGACGAAATCAGATCGAGTAATGGGTCTCTAATCCCATCCTTAGACGACGATCTCCTCCTCCTCTTCCTCCTGTTAAAAGAAGCCCTAACATGAAACTTTATGACCCGGTCATCGTTAACAACCATAACGAATCAAGATCTAGTAGGGGGTAGAAGGCGGCAACGGCTAGGATTTAGACTTGTTCCCTCCTCGTCGCCATTCTCAGTGTAGATCTATCCAACCATCATGTTTCTCCTTGTCGCCCCCATCTCTGAAACGGATCTGTAACAGGTTAGGGTTTGTAA